CATGCCCGGCTAATTTTTTCTATATATTTTTAGTTGTCTGATTAATTTCTTTCTATTTTTAGTAGAGACGGGGTCTCACTCTTGCTCAGGCTGGTCTTGAACTCCTGACCTCAAGCTATCCTCCTGCCTTGGCCTTCCAGAGTGCTAAGAGTACAGGTGTGAGCCACCGCGCCCAGCCAAAACCATGAGCATTTTTAAGAACATGGAACACCCTCCTGTTTGTGTCTCCCTAGAGAAATTAGCTGTTAAGACCTTTAAACCTACGAGGAGTCTAGTCATTTGGGGCCCCGGGACACAGGGGTGGTTGGGGAATTGAGAGCAGCAGCCCCCTCTGCTCCTGGGTTCCCCAGCAGGCTGAGTTCCTGAGGCTGCAGCAAGGAAAGGAGCCCCGAAGGGTGGGCCTGGGATGGAGGGGCTCCCCCGACCCCTTCCCTGAGGACTTTGGCCAGTGCCCTCCACCTCTGTTGGCCCCATTTCAGCGGAGCCCTGGGCCTTCTCGGCAGCCAGACTTGCCCTCCTCTACGCAATGCTCCTTCCCTTCCTGGAACTCTTGCTCTCACCATGCCAGTTCCTTGCCCTCCAGTCCACAGACTGCTCTAACTGCTTCTCTCAGCCCCTTCCTAACCTGACTTCCCTCCCTATCTGCCCTAGGGTCCGGCCTCTAGCACTTCAACTGTTCTTTCCCTTCCTCGCTCATGTTAGCCCTCAGCCCTTCTACCTTGCTTGGCCTGCAAAACCTGAGCTGATGGCCTGAGCTCTGCTGAGGAAAAGCCACACTGCCTGAAGTTCCCGGTACCACCATTCCACCACTTGGTCCATATTCCCAACAGACAGCTTCCACCGCCTGCTGCCCCGGGACACTGAGGCCTGTGGGGAGCCTACCCATAGCTGTTGCTTGCCACGCGATGCCTGCCCTTAACGGAGCAAGCCCCTACAGGCGTACACACGCTACAGCCCATCCTCACTGCCAGCACCTGCACCGTCGTTCCTATTTTTCAGATAAGAAAACAGAAGTTCAGAGAGGTTAAGGAGCTTGTCTAAGGTCACACAGCTAATTAGTGACAAGCCACATTCTGGGCACACCTCTAGCATATCACTTGTGACAGTGCATTGTCATAGAAACAGATGAATCGCTGTAGAAACTCATGCAGTGCTCAGTACTTAGAAGGCGCTTGTGTTTGCTGAATACACAATTTTAAGAGTGACAACCATAGGCTCAGGAGGAATGAGGGTAAATTTCTATAATACTTAACAAGTTGTCAGCAGAGAAACATTTTCTCCCTCATAATGAAGTGGATCAGGATATCAAGAACGTATCTACTTGTGGTTTACAGGGTGGGTTCTGGAGCCAGGCTGCCAGGGTTCAAATGCTGGCTGTTCTGCTGCTTTCTAGTCATGAGGCCTTGGGCCAGTTACTTAACCGCTCTGAGCTTATTTCTTCACCTATAAAATGAGACTTAAAATTCCCACCTTGCAGAATCCCATGTGGATAATACAAGTGCTTAGTGGGGTGACTGGCACCCAGTAAAAGCACTCAATAAATGTTAGCAAACATTTCGTCCTCAGCACCAAAGACAGTGGTCTGGTGTCTATGACCTGTCCTGCAAGCCACAAGACACTATGTCCACTCCCAAAGCAGTGTGAGATGTTGGCTTGAGGGTTGGACAGACTTGGGTTTGAATATCAGGTCTGCCTCTTTCTGGCTGTATGACCTGGAACAAATGCCAATCTCCACAAATCTCAATGTCCTTGTAGATATAAGTGAATACCCAAACCTCGTAAGGTTGTTGCGAACATTTAAAATGATGCCTATAAAGTACCCTTCCTATCTTACATATAAACATAACCATAGTTACTACAACACAGCTGCGGAAATGAGACAGGTGGCTAGGACCCACCCGGAAACACTGTAACTGGATTGGTGGGCTGGGAAACAAAAGGCAAGGAGGCCCTTCTGGGGCGTGTTTCAACCCACCAGGCTGGCGAGGCACCAGAGAGGTGAGGGGCACTGAAAATGACACAGGGATTGACCCCCGATAAGATAAAATGTCACAGGCAGTCGCCTCCAGGCTCTGGTTCCTCGGCCCTAGCTGCTGTTTATGCCTCCCGATCCTCTGGCTCTGGCTACAGTGAGTTAGTGGCATTTGAGAACGGTGGAATCTCAGAACGGAAAGGGCCGCAGATTGTAATGCAGCCCCCCTGATTTGACATATAAGGAACAGGGCTCGGAGAGGGGAAACAGCATGCACAAAGTCACATGTTGAGCTAGTAGCCCTCTCTGCTGGGATTCAGGCCTTCAGGGTCCTGTCTAGCATTCTTTAGGGTATTCCATACTGCATTGTTGTGTTTTTTAGGGATTCGAGCTGTTAAAAGCTTCTTTCCACACACTGTCCCTGATGACACAGGCATAGAAAATGTGCTGATCTGCAGAATCTGCCGGTAGCGGCCAGGGATCTTTCCCCCAGGGCAGAGGACACAAAAGGCTATCGAGGGAGGAAGGGAAACGTGAGGGGAGCAATGCAGGAGGGGAAGGCTAGGTCAGTGTCTACCACCCAGGAGTTGTAAACTGGAACACCCTGGTCCCACAGAGTTCCAATGGATGAATCAACAGGATCTTGTGCCAGACCTGGTAAGGAAGAGGTCCTAGCTCAGATGAGGCACATGGAGGTAGTACCTTTTTTTTTTTTTTGATACAGAGTCTCACTCTGTTGCCCTGGCTACAGTGAGTGCCATGGCGTCAGCCTAGCTCACAGCAACCTCAAACTCCTGGGCTCAAGTGATCCTACTGCCCCAGCCTCCCGAGTAGCTGGGACTACAGGCATGCGCCACCACGCCCGGCTAATTTTTTCTATATATTTTTAGTTGTCCAGCTAATTTCTTTCTAATTTTAGTAGAGGCGGGGTCTCGCTCTTGCTCAGGCTGGTCTCGAACTCCTAAGCTCAAACAATCCGCCCACCTCAGCCTCCCAGAGAGCTAGGATTACAGGCGTGAGCCACCGCTGGAGGTAGTACCTTTGACAGGAATGGGATGTGTCTAGTTTGTGCTGATTCAAATGTATATAGAATGCTCTGTGGGGAATGGCTGCCACCATTCGCATAAACACCTGACCCTAAAAAGATTGAGGGTAAATAAGGACCTGGCCTTACTAAAAACAAAACCTAGTGGAGTAAATCATGTTTTAAGATTGAAAACTAAACACTTGGGGGCAAATGAGAACATTTGTTTTGCCACTTACAGTAACAGTGACGTCATTAAGAGATGAGGATAAAAAGAGCCCAATAACTGCCTGAGCACGCACATCCAGACTTTAAAATGCAAGTGGGTTTTCCTCATCCAAGGCGAGCACTGAATGTGGGGTTTAAAAGGTCTGATGGATGGGGGGAAGGGGAGTGACTGCCTTGAAGGGTGCAGGGTTTCTTTGCAGGGTGATGAAGATGTTCTGGAACTAGACAGTAGGAATAGCTGCACAATCTTGTGAGTGTACACTTTAAAATAGTTAAAATGGTGACTTTTAGGGTCACGTGAATTTTACTACAATAAAAAGAAAGATACGGCCTTGACTACAGGTCAGAGCCACCAGAGAGAAGGGTGACAAGCATTGAAATATTTGCAGGAAGGAGACCAGGGTTTGAAAACTCACATCCTTCTGTCCTAGAGGTGGATCTCTGCCAAATCACCAACTAGATGAAAAAGGAAATCAGAGGATTTGATTACTATTTTTTGAACTTGCTGGTTGCCTGTGTTCACAGCTTGGCTAACAATTGGTGTCACCTTTATACAACCACCAGTGCATTTTTTACTATTATAACAAAAAAACCTTCTTTCATCTGCAAAGTTTATTTCATATAACATACATTTATGTGGAGCTGTAACAGAGTGTTTCAACATGTGGCATTTGTGCAGAAAAACATCAGAAACTCATTTGTTAGGATGATTGTCTCCGCCCTCTATATGAAAGAGCTAGTGTATAAAAATAGTTTTTAAACCTAAGGCAGCCTGTTCTATCTAATCTATAACAAAGGTACAGAACTTGGAGTAGCAAAGAACTAGGAAATCAGAAAGAATTACTATCTCCTTTTACTAATCCAAGACTAGTGGCCAAAAGGAACATTGGCCTGCTTCAAACTATTTGTGATTTAACACTGAAAACTCATTAGCATTAGGACAATTAATCTGTATTTGAGTTTTATGGAATCGTATATCCTGTGTCCATACACACGTGCGTGTGTGTGTGTGTGTGTGTGTGTGTGTGTATCCATGTGCACAACTGTGTACCCATCACAGGGCCTGGAGAATAACACTGCTCCTGTACTCACTGGCTGCCAGTAGCTAGAGAAAGGCAAGCAAATTTTGGTTACATATCTCAAGCCTGACACTCTGAAGGACAGGACTGGAGATCACCAGCAGAAAAAGACTTTAAACATTAAACATTTAGAGGAATTAAACATATTCCACAAGACAATATAAGCACTGCTTTATGAACACAATAAAAATAACACGTTTTTGTAGATAACCCCCAAAAGAAATGCTGAAAAAAGCGTGAAAGATGCTGACTGCTCTAAGATTATGCTTTCTAAGTAAGATTCCCAGCATTTGAGAGTATCACTGCCTTTGCACTCGCTGGCACAGATGACGGCAGAGTTAAAAACATACATATATAATGGTAAAGTACAATTTACTATATTTTACAACCTTCATTATTGTATATTAGAAGAAAATCTGACATAACTCTTGTGAGCAATCCTGAGTCCCTTATGTTCTCTACGACATCGAATGTGAGTTTTTAGTCGTTCAAATTAATGTCATTGGTAAACAGAAAAAACATTGTTTTAAGATTTCAAATATATACTGAAAGAGAATTAGTCCTTCAATAAGATTCTTTTAGAAACTTGACAGTTATCATTTTAGGAAAGCATCCTTGATGCACACTCACTCCAGCACACACGTTGGTAGGAAAACACAAGAACGAGAGACAATGGTGATTTTTCAAGGAAAACAAAAATGGATGTTTACTCAGAACTCTTGTGAGGACATAAGAGAACAAGATATATAAACATCTTCTGAGATATATGTCAAGGTGACCTTCTGATGTTTTCCTTTTTTTTTTTTTTTGATGGTCATTTCCTTTGCCAGGTTCAAGTTGGAAGCAGGAAAATTTTGGAAGATGGACCTGGGGGTTGAGCTATCCAGAGTGGAAGGTGTGTTAATCTCCCAGGCTGCAGAAAGGTTACTCATCTGGAACAGAAGGAAAAAGAAAAGAAAGACTAGTAAAGAAGATACTGGTCTCATGGCAACATGGCCCTGGCCTTCCTTTGGGCACACCCAGGACGCTGGGTAGCCCCCCTGGATTTGCTGATACACTGGTGTTCTTATAAATGTCCCCCACTTCCCTGACTCCCAAGTGGGCCCAAGTTATCTGTCTTAATTTCAAAGAGAGCTTCTCAAGGAAAGAAAAACAAAGGCCTTTTGGTTTTGCAAACACTGAGACTAATTCCAAAGGCCTCTCTAACCCTCTGCCCTAAAGGAACATCTACATGTTTGTCAAGCAGCTGGCGGATACAGAGCTCAGAAGAATCTGAGTTTTAAAAAATATATATTTTTTACAGCTGGGAGGAAATGTGGGAGATGAAACTTAGAATCATCTACTCTCTCGAAACTAACTTAACGGAAGACTCTTCCACATCATTCCTGTAGACCCACCATTGTCTTCTCCTTCTCTTCCAAAGTCACACAGTACAAAGAGTGCCTTGGGACCACCAGAAGCAGGGGAAAGTTCAAGGTCAACTGCCTTTCAAGCAAAGGGGAGATGGGATGAGGCCTTACCCGAATCAGGAGAAACAGGTTTGCTTCTTCTCTTGTCATCTAAAGGTGTCTGGGGACTTTGGCAAAATGTCATGGAATCCTTCAGATTGTGTTTGTGGTCATCAGGAGGGATATGTGATACAGATGTTTCTGGGTGACTTCTGATGTCCGTCATCTTGTCACAGATCCACTCCTGCTTTGAATTCAAACTCAGGGAGGATCTTATGGTGTTGGATCCGTTTACTTTTCCGGTTTTTGCTGTACGTCTGGTTCTTTTGGTGGATGGTCTGGAAAGAGATATTTTGGTTAGAATCCTGATTATTCCTAAACCAAGGCTCAGTGTCGAAGGAAGCCCTATATTTTTTTTGTTTTTTTGAGACAGCGTCTCTATTGCCTAGGCTGGAGTGCAGTGGTGTTGTCATAGCTCACAGCAACCTCAAACTCCTGGGCTCAAGCGATCCTCCTACCTCAGCCTCCTGAGTAACTGGGACTACAGATGTGTGCCACCAAACCTGGCTTAGGAAGGTATATCCTTTAATTCGCTTCTAAGAAATGTTTTGGAAGTAAATAAACGTTCAGAATCACAGAACAGGAAGGCTGAAAGAAACCCGGGAGATCACAGAACACGCTGGTTTCAAATTATATTCTAGAAAGGCCTAGGGTACCACTGAAGCACCAGGGCTATGAGTAGCTAAGCACAGAGGGCTCCAGGAACCCTGTCCCTCCCTCAAGGTGGTCAAGGAAACAGCCAGTAAGCTGTAGTTAGAGAACTGGTGCAGGTTTTCTACGTCCAGTGCTCTTTCCACATTATCACTGTGCCTCCTAGCAGACTCCTATTTCCATGGGCCTTGTTTCCAGACTCCTGTTTGCAGGTTAATGTCTTTTCAGGCAATTGCCAAATAGTGTGCCTTTCCAAGAATCTCTTCCTGCTCTCCTGACCTAACTTCTGACCCCATTTCCCCATATGTAAAATGAGGATATTACTAGCAAACTCAGAGTTGCAATGAGAATTAAAACAGGCAGTATAAAATGCCTGGTATACAGCAGTCACTCAATAAATGTCCCCTTCTCTGATTTGATGACACAACATTAACTAGTGTGAACAAAGGCAGTTTGGAGTCAGATGTGACTGGGTTTGAATTTGGGTTCTGCTCTTTAGTAGTGTCATGTTAGGCAAATAAAGCCCCTAAGCCTCTCTGCACCTCAGTTTCCTTGTCTGCAAAATGGGGATGATGATCCTTACCTAGCAAAGCTGTCGTGGGGATGAGTTTGTTTCTGTTAAGTGTTTAACATAGTGTTTGGTACAAAATAAGAGCTTAAACAATAATATCATTTAGCATTCTAAGAATGCTAATCATAATCCCATGAAATTTATTTAGATAATTTCACCGAGTGACTCACCTTGAACCTTTTATCTGTGTCAAAGGGTCTTTCATGCTTTTTTGTTTGAAGGTTTTCAAATCGCCATTAAAATATGTTTTCGACTCTTTACGAACCTGGCCAGTGGTGGCTTCTAGAAACACCAGCTTGTGTGACATTTTCTTGGCTTTGAGTTTGGTAGGTGAATTTCTGCCATTTTGCATGGCTAGGAAAAAAAGAAAGAACAAAATTAAAACTGGAGTTTCAACGACAAATTCAAGAAATAGTGAAGGCTGTGATCCTGATGGGATGGCAGGGGCTGGGAGGGTGGGGACGCCTGCCTAAAGGCAGGAAGAGTCAGGCAGCAGTACTCCAGGGAGGCAGGCCTGGCAGCCTCTGAGCTGCTTCACCTTCCTTAGTCAGGGCCCAGGCCACTGCCCAACATGCTCACTCGTCCTGCCCTCAAAGCACCAAGGAGCTACCTTGAAGGAACTTGTCCTCTTTCCCTTGCTAGGTAAGAATGATAGGCCAGAGGCAGGGCTGCCCCAGCTTCTCATGCCTCCCCCGGATCACCCACTTAGCCAATTCCACCTCTGAGTTTGGTCTCACCTCCAATGCTACCTCCTATCTTCAGCTTTCCTCGATGCCCACAGGCAGACCAAGGGGCATAGCAATAGGAGATTGCTATGTTCTCGTTGTATTTTGACCAAACCGCTTTTAACCCAATTATCTTGTGTCAGTATCATCTGCTCATATGTCTGTCTTCTCACTTGCTATGGCTATGGCTATGGCTCCTTGGCTGCATGCCCACCACCTAGTAGAGGATCTGACTTACCTGATCAACATCTGCTTGCACGATAAATATGGACAGATAGTATTTTCTGCAATGCCAATTACTACGACTATAAAGTGGTTCCTACTCATAAGGGAGTCAATGACACAATTTTAATTTTTCTTACGGAGGTGGAAAGTGGAATTCCACCTGTGGTCAATCACAGATGCCTTCTGAGTTCCTGAACTATGAAATGCCAGCAATCCTCACATTCAACTGAGAAAGAGCTGCCACCTATAGTCTATTAGCATGACCGTTAAAGTAGTAGCAGCAGCAGTTGGTATTTATTGAGTGTTTACTACATGTCAGGCACCATGCTTAGCATTACCCAGGTTTATCTCATTGAAATCTCATGTCCACCCCAGAAGGATATTAGCTTCCCCTTTTTCAGATGGGAAAACTGAGCACAGAGAGGTTAAGTGACCTGCCCAAAGCCAAGCAGCTCAGAACTAGAGAAGCCCCTGGATATGAACCTAGGGAGTTTAGCTCCTAAAGGCTAACTAACAAAAACATCAGGAGCAAGCGAACCTGATGGAAACATTTCATCAAGAGAGTCCTCATCACTTTCAGACTCATCCTCGTCGTCAGCTTCATCCTCCTCGTATGTGTCATTGCCAGATGTTTGTGCAGCCTATGATTAAAAAAGAAAATATGATCATATCTAATATTTAATCACCCTGGCTTTAAATTTCAAAGAAGTCAGATTTCAAAGCTGGATTGATAACTAACTTTCATCATTTCAATTCAAAGGTGAAAAATCAAACCTCTTTAACTGGCTCCAAGAATTGACAGGGGACAGGGACAGGTGGCCCTAGTTGCCATCTTTCAGCTGAGGAAAGATACTCAAGAATACTCCCTGAGCAGGAGCCAAGGGACTAGAAAGTTGGGTTGGCCTTCATCTTCTGCCTGCCGGGAATCCTCACTAAGGCAGGGCGGGGCTGATCAGTGAATACCTAAAAAGTTTTCGGCTGCTGCTTGAGGTAAAACTTCCCAGGCCCATGAGTTGAATGAACTTTGAGATGGTGACTCCCTGCACTTTTTAGAAATGACATTTCTATTCTAAATTCTCATGCTACTTCATGATATGAGTGACTATAACTGGGCAATTATAAAAAGGCAAAAAGTCTTATAGCATAGAATGTACAAAGCACTGACTCTAGGGAAAAAAAGGCCTTAAACGCATGTGCTCCAGCAAAAGACATGATGTTGGAGTACACACATACTTATGAAACAGAACCCAAAAGCACTCACCATAAAGGGAAAAAATGATTAAATTTGCATCTCATTAAAATAAACTTCTAGTTCATCAAAAGATACTAAGAGAGTGTGAGGCAAACTACAGCATGCCAGGAGAAACCTGCAATACATATATCCAAAGGACTCCTACCCAGAGTAGGTAACAACTACAAATCAGTAAGAAAAAGACAGGTGACAAAATAGGAAAATGGGCAAATGGCTTGAAAAGGTATTTCACCAAAGTGAATCTCCAAATGGCCAGTAAGCATAGAAAAGGTGCCTGACTTCATTAGTCATCGGAAAATACTGATAAATTCAACGTTAAAACGAGGAGCTTCTATCTAGCAGAAGACAACATTAAGAAAAGACAAGCCATAAACTGGGAGAAGGTATCTGCAACACATAATCTAAAAAGCAGCAGTATCTAGAACATTTAAAGAATTATAAATAAGTAAGAAAAAGACAAATTGACCCCAAAGTTTTGTGATTAGCAAAAGACCTAAAGAAGCACTTCACACAGAGAAAACATGAAAGCTAAGTAAAGGTAAGAAAACATGCTCAACCTTTTTAATAATTAGGGAAATACAAATGTGATACTTCATCTCATTACTACCAGACTGGCAAAAGTGAAAAAGTTGGCAAGAATGTGAAGCAGCAGGAATTCTTATACACTGCTGGTAGGAGTACGGAGACTACCTTTGAGGCATTCACATCTGTCTTTCTCGTCCGCTTCATAATTTCCTCAATTCTCTATTTAAAGGAAAATAAAAATTCAAACATGAAAACAGATTAAAAACCAAACAGTGGTCCTGAAGGAGTTGATTATCTCCAGGTCACAGAGGTGGACAATGGCAGGACTGCTCCCAAACCATAGATTTAACCAACAAAAGGCCTGCGGTGGCAGTTGGGTTCCCTCTTCCGAACCCAGTTTCAGCTATAAAATGCCTTGAATGGTGACAGTTTTACTTGTTATCATAACACAAACATCCAAATGATAACATCTCACTCCTAATTTTGCGTACGTGGAAATTCATTACTTACACTAAGCACATAATACTGCAAACCAATTAGCGCTTATAATATGATTTTAGTCTTAATAGACCATTCCTGAAGCCTATGTTAATGAAAATAATATACCTCGACGATGCCACACTGTTAGAGATTTTTTTTACTAAAGAAAGAAGACAGACAGCAGAGGAGGAATGTGTTCTAGGGAGGGATTAAGAACTCTCTCCTCTGTGTACATTTCTTTCCCTGGAGGTGAGGAGAGCTGCAGCTCCCTGGCTGCCTTGGGGTGACCGATCTACTAACAGAGGCCTTAAAGCTCCCAGATGAGCTCACGTGTGTCCCCACCTTACACACAGCCTGTGCCTTGGCCTCTCCGAGAGGCTTGCACTCTGCTCCTTCCCATGCAGTTGCGGCAATTTCAATCCCAGTTTTGAAGAAACTCTAACTTCCACCAAACTCCACCACGATAGGAGTGATTCTGTTCAAATAAGCTTTGTTTCCGGAGGTTTGATATACTGAGGCATTGCTGTAATGACCACCAAGGATCCATGAGGGAGAGGTATGTATGGTCACTAAGAGGAAAGCTTTCTATGTAGGAGAGGTCAGATCCTTAGATAAGGAAGAAGTATGTACAGCGGGAAAACAAGCAGGGGCTAGCATGTACCTGATTTGTGATTTCCAAAAACCTGTGCTGATATCATATACCCAACATTGTTTTAAACAAAGAATCAAATCCCCCAAAACAGAGAGCAAGTACCTTTTTTCTTTCTAATCTTTCTTGTAAATTTTGTAACATAATTCTCTCGTGTTCCTTCTTGCGTTTGTCAGCTTCCTCTTGAGCCTTTATTTTGGTGTCCCCTTTCTAGGAAATTTGTATAAAAGTATCATTAAATCTCAATATATCTGAGTTACATCAGAGAACACTAGTTTAAAAACTTAAATGGTAAAATATTATCTAGCATAACAAAAGGTAACTTTTTGATTGAGGGTTCCTATACATATGAAATTCATAGTTTATCAGTTTTCAAAGCACTAGTTAGAAAGGACAAAAAACTAGGCTAAATGTTATCTTGAGGATTCAGGACCTCGCGTATCATTATGAACATCAGACCACCTTAAAGTATATAAGTGATTGTGGAGTTCCCTTAATATTGCAACAGGAGCCAAAAGTCTTACATTTCTCACAAGTACTGGGAGGATTCTTAAAGGTACCTTCCTGAGGAATGCAAGGGAATACAATCATTTATGGACATGTAACCAATTCTGATAAATGATACACTAAAACTGGGAATATAAATTGGGCTACAGTAATAATTCAAACTGAGTATAGTCTGAGCTTGGTTTGGGAATTTACCTGGTGATTTGAATTTAGACAAGTGAGACATTCTTCTTTGTTAATTTAATGATTTTAAACGTTCAGAGGTATTCATAATGTTTTATCTTCTCATCTGTCGGGCTGTGTGTGTGTGGTGCAATTATGAGTGCTATGTATGGTAGCACAGAATGCAAGATGAGGAAAACTGACCCGAGATGTTTAATTTGTGCAAGCAATTTAGATTTCAAACTAAAGAACTATTAATCTACAATTTGCTGCTTTCTGCTTCTGTCACTTGGAAAACATTCTGGGATTTTCTGAGGGTGTCTGAGAATGACCTGCAGTGGTATTAGGTAATAGGGAGCCTGCAATATAAAAATACAGCCAGAGAATGCTGTATCTGCCCATCACCTTTCTCAGAGACACAAAATTTTTTGCTTTGGGTTCCAACTGAACTTTATGATCTGGTTCTCATCCCCTGATAAAGTGTCACGCCAGCAAACCTGTAGCAGTACTTCTTGGTCTTCTTGATCCTGACATCCTTTCTTCTTTTTAGTATCCTTTTGTCCTTGCTCATCTTCGAGTTTTGAGAACTCTTCGACTTGGCCTTCAACTGCTTTCTCCGCCACATCTTTCATTTCTCTAATGACACTGAGAGTATTTAAATAACTCTTAGTACTTATCTTGCTTTCTACCATATTCAGCTTGCAATATTGAGTTTTCATAGTGAAACTGCTTGTGTACAGTAATACAATTTATATTTATATTTATACCAGATTCACTACACTTTCTGTGTTGTTATCACACAGGATTTACAATTCCACCCTTTTCAAACTGAGGAAACTAGCCCTTAGGAGTAGAAAAAGATTTCTACCAAAGTAGTGGACTAGTTTGCATTTAAAAAACATACTCATGCACACATATGAGATAATCAGCCCTTAACTATTTTAGGCCTTATTGACATGTACTCACACTCAATCTCATGTGGGGGTGACGGGGTAATTTAAAGGAGGGTCTGGTGGTTCCCCAGTATTTAGTGCTTTCAAATGCTAAATTAGCTGTTTACATGAAGCAATGAATAATATTCTTTAAGTTATAGGGTTTTTGCTATTCGCAATATCCCCTTCTCCTTTCTCCCATACCCATATAAAGTATATGGAAAGTATGTGATTATATTTCAAAGAACACTTAATACTTAAAAGCAAAGTCAATACTGTTGCTATTCCTTGCAGCCAGTGGACAGAGGTTTACATTATAGGGCCCAACATAAAATGGGCCGCAAGATGGAGGAGGAAGAAACCTTTTGCTCAAGTTCAAATGCACACAACTGTACATGAGATTTGTTCCCCACAGGAAATCCTTCTGGCAAAGACTCACTGGCCTGACGCAGGTGTCACAAAGATCATTGGAAACCATCCAAAGTTAAACATGAATAAGTATAATTTCTAGTTTTACAAATCCTCAAGTTATAAGGTTTTTATAAAGAAAGGGACTGACACCAGTGAACACAAACAAATGCTGTTATGTGATCACTCTGGTGCTATAGCTAATAGATTGGACCCTGGACATGATTTTTATGCATTCTCCTAGCAAACCTTAATGGTACGTGATGTATGGAGTCTAAAAAGGACTGCACTACTCATCCACATACCAGGGTCCTCTCTGCTCAGCCATTTACAGGGGCTTGAAATGCTTCCTATATATACTTTCTTTACTTGTTTAGATGGCACTAAGGAATTTCTGATCCTCACTGAAGAAAAAGTCAGTTGCTTTTTGAGAATTTATAACTTGAGGGTAAAATTTTGACTTTCAAAATTTGGGCCCCAGGCAAGATTTATGGTATAGGACAGATGACTTTGTACTGACCTTGGCTCCATTTCTTGCTGGAGTCTTTCTTCTTCTTCTTTTTCTCTCTGTTCCCGAACAAGGCGGCGTCTTTCCGCCAAAATTTTTGTTGCCTCCTCGGCATTCATAGTCCCTGGTGTGCTTTTATTACCAGACTCTAGTTTAAATAAATGTGTATAACATTTAGTTTAGGGAACTTATTGTCTCTCAGTCCAACAAAGTGCAATGCAATCCAAAACATTAAAAAACCAAATGATACGTTTGTAGGCCAAAACTTGTAAATCACAAGCAAACTATAGGTGATTATGTAACAGATTTTGTTCTAATTGTCCCCCTAACAATAGAAGTAGCATTTTGTTTCTTTTTAACAACTACTTGTTCCAAAATAAAACAATGTACTTTTCTTTTGTTTTTAGCTGTTTTGAGATAACTGCATCAATTGACTCTAAGGGAAAAGAGTAAGATATACTGAATATAGAGGAAGATAAGATTACACTCGGTCCGAATGAAGGGTACAAGTATCTTAGATACTCAACTAAACAAAAAAACATCTGGCATACATTTTGAGATTTGTGCATCACTTTTGCTACATAATTTCTGCTTAGCTAAACTTTGATAATAGTATGTACATTTGGTTGATCATAAAGTGGCTAAATAGATAACAAAAAAACCAAGACTATGAGCAAAATGACTATGTGGATGCATATTATAATATTTTATTCTATGTAACTAATTTATTTTAAATAAATCACATATGAAAATGAGAATTTTAAGACATATCAGGAATGAATAATTAATAATAAAAAGGTGGTTTCTATAACAAAGAATTTACATTGGAATTCCTTAAAAAAGCAACTTCCAAGGTACTAAGAATGTGACACATAATAAAAAAGAAAAGAATGCATGTGGCAGGCAAAATAACAATATGGCACTTTCAGGAGTACTGCGCAAACCAAGGCATACTACTTTATGGCATGGAAATGGACCTAAACCTCCTGAGGAAAATCTGCTCATCCACGAATGGTTAGATGTGCTCTCTCCAAGAACTACTTAATATCAGAGCTCTAAGGGACTGCAGGAAAGACCTAGACTAACCCTCTCATCCAACCTGTTTTTTTTTTTTTTTTTTTTTTTTTTGAGACAGAGTCTCACTTTGTTGCCCGGGCTAGAGTGAGTGCTGTGGCGTCAGCCTAGCTCACAGCAATCTCAGACTCCTGGGCTCAAGCAATCCTACTGCCACAGCCTCCCAAGTAGCTGGGACTACAGGCACGCACCACCATGCCCGGCTAATTTTTTTTCTATATATTTTTAGCTGTTCAATTAATTTCTTTCTATTTTTGGTAGAGACGGGGTCTTGCTCTTGCTCAGGCTGGTTTCGAACTCCTGAGCTCAAACAATCCGCCTGCCTCGGCCTCCCAGAGTGCTAGGATTACAGGCGTGAGCCACCGCGCCCGGCCCCAACCTGTACTTTTAACATTGGTTTCAAAAATGAATTTTCCAAAACAAAGGGGTAGGGAAGAAGCTCTGGCAAGGACAAGCAAACAGAGGAGATACAGTCCAATGTACCCATGACTGGTTAAATTTTCTATCTTAAAAGAAAGATCACTCCCTAAAGTTCTCTCAATTGGGGAATAAAATGAAATTGACCATTCCCAAACTACCTTAAGATTTTCTGTGTTGCTAAAATAAGCTTCTTACTGAAAGAACTTATCTTCAGGCACAGCAAAAAAAAAAAAACCAACAAAACACAACAAAAAATAACTTACCTTCATAGATTATATGTCTTTGGCTTGAAGGTTCACATTTGTTAGTGGTTTTAGAAACTGCCTCTCTCCTTTTTTTGACGGTACCCAATGTATTTTGCACAATTGGGGTACACTGAACAGGTATTATTTTATTGGAAAGAGAAGCCTGTGGTGATTGTTTTGAAACTACTGGTGAAGGTGACGGGGGTCGGTTCTTTTGGATTTGCCTGCTGAGAAAAAGTAATACATGTGTGCTCATTAATTTTTAATGCACAATTTCATGAAATATAATGTATTGACATTATGAGATAATATTATAATCTGGGATTTTCTTCTGAAAAGTAAATCCATTTTTAAAGTTTTTTTTTTTGTATTGTTTCATTCATGAAACACTGACATGGAATTAGTCCTATATAACGCCCATCAGGAACAGTGCAAACAAGCTACTTACTTAGTGCTAATAGGAGAAGGTGGACGATACCCGCTTGCAGGAGACGATGACCATTTATAACATGGTATGTACGATGATGGGCACTTCTTGGTAATAGAGTTTGAGGTCTGTTTGTCCATTTCTGATTTCTGAACAGATCAATGCAATAAGATAAGAAATTACTAGCAATTCTTTTATGGCAGTTGGGCTTTCAAGAGAAAAACTGAATAAAATACAATTATAGTTCCTTAAAACCCAATTTTCTTTTAGTGCATGAGAATTCGGTACAGAGGTATTTTCTTCCAGACTAACAATTCACATTACACAATTCAAGTAGATCACAGAAACAATTAATTTAAAAGAATCTTTTAGGCTGGGCGTGGTAGCTCATGCCTGTAATCCTAGCACTCTGGGAGGCCGAGGCAGGTGGATCATTTCAGCTCAGGAGTTTAAGACCAGCCTGAGCAAGAGCAAGACCCTATCTCTACTAAAAATAGAAAGAAATTAGCTGAACAACTAAAAATACATAGAAAAATTTAGCCGGGCATGGTGGCGCATGCCTGTAGTCCCAGCTACTCAGGAGGCTGAGGCAGAAGGATTACTTGAACCCAGGAGTTTGAGGTTGCTGTGAGCTAGACTGACGCCACGGCACTCTACTCCAGGCAACAGAGTGAGACTCTGTCTCATTAAAAAAAAAAAAAAAAAAAAAAAAAGAATCTTTTACTTCAAAACCTAACTCCATTTCTAAATCCTAATTAAGGGTTTAGAACATTTTTCAAAAAAAAATTTTCTTCAGAGTTTAGAAACATATTTCACATAAACTTATATTTTCTCCCTCTACTAAAACTAATATTCTAGCTTTGAGGGGAAAGTGGGTACAATGAACATCAGAGAATCTTAAATTCTTAGTTTAAGTGAGTTATCCTATGAATTTTATGGCAGAATACTATTAATAAGAAATTGGTTATGTTGTGAAATCTGACCTATCATGATCTATACAACAAAATATCCATATTTTAATATTTTACATTAGCAAATTTGTCAATGAAAGGCACTCGACAAACCTGCAGAGTGTCTCTCACCTTCGCCTTGGGAGATGCTTCCATGCTAATCTCAGGGGATGCCTTGGGGGGTGCTTCCACGCTTGCCTCAGGAGGTGCTTCCACCATAACCTCAGGGTTTACTTCTATCATCACCTCAGGGGATGCTTCCGTGCTCTCCTCTGGGGGCACTTCCAGGCTTACCTCCGGGGATGTGTCCACGCTCACCTCAAGGGACTCATCTGTACTCACCACTGGGGACACATTCACGCTCACCAAGGGGGATGAGTCCTCGCTCATCTCGGGGGAGGAGTGCATGCTCGCCTTGGGGGTCACTTCCACGCTCGCTTCAGGGGGCGCTTCCACATTCGCCTCAGGGGATGCTTCCACACCCACCTCAGGGGGCGCTTCCACTTTGGCCTTAGGGGATGCTTCCATGCTTGCCTTGGTGGGTGCTTCTGTGCTTGCCCTGGGGAATGCTTCCACATTCACCTTGGGGGGTACTGCCACACTTGCCTTGAGGGGTATCTCTACTTTCTCCTGGGGAGCCATTTCTAATTTTGTTTGAGGAGGCATTTTCACTGTTGACTTGGGAAATGTGATAGTAGTCTTCAATTCGTCACTACTATAGCTACGAGAGGGCACATTTATATGCTGGAATATGTGATTGTTGATGGCTGTAAGTGAATGAGGACAGAGTAAAATTCCATAAGTTAGAAATTTGATAAGACAAAGATACATTATATATACAGTATAACAACAGGAACAGAGAAAACAGACTGTTTATTAGGAAAGTACAGGGATTAAACACAACACAGGAAATGTTTAGTGAAATGGATCACAGACACAGACAGAACCATCACAGAGTAAGTACTTCAAAAGCAACACCAACAAGAGAGTTGCTGTGAAAGCAATTGTCTATTACAGATAAAAATAAGATGCTTCTCCAAGGGTGATGTTTGCAATTTCTATTTTAACCATACTATATTTCAGAATGATTTTCACAGAAAATTACAAGATCTTCAACCCTTTTTAAAAGCAATCTAAACATCTTCACCAGGGCTAAAGATCTTACTTTTACAGGTGATTGTGTAAGATACTCTATACTTGATTGTTTTAGAATAGAATGTAAGAAAGTATTTTCTCACCCATACTAAAAACTCTAAGACATTAACCAGAGTGGATTAGATCTCCAAGGTCCCTTCCAGGTTTACCAATCTATTTTACCCATGAAATGGACAAAAATGATAATACTTGGTGTCAGCTAAGATGGAGGAAAATGATAACATCAATGTTTGGAACTAGGCAACCTCATACACTGCTGGTAGGAGTGTAGATTTGTATATTTTCCCTGCGAAGCATAAAAAGTACATACACTTTGTTCTAACAATTCCATTTCTAGGTTTATCCTTAGGAAAAAATCATATAAATACATAAAAAAAAAAAAGTTGCTAGGCTAGGCGTGGTGGCTCACGCCTGTAATCCTAGCGCTCTGGGAGGCCGTGGCAGGTGGATCATTTGAGCTCAGGAGTTTGAGACCAGCCTGAGCAAGAGCGAGACCCCATCTCTACTAAAAATAGAAAGAAATTGGCCAAACAACTAAAAAATAGAAAAAAAAATTAGCCGGGCATGGTGGCGCATGCCTGTAGTCCCAGCTACCTGGGAGGCGAGGCTGAGGCAGTAGGATTGCTTGAGCCCAGGACTTTGAGGTTGCTGTGAGCTAGGCTGACGCCACGGCACTCTAGCCCAGGCAAGAGAGTGAGACTCTGTCTCAAAAAAAGAAAAAAAGTTTCGAATTATTGTATTGTTTATAATATTGAAACAATTGAAAATATAATCTGCAATTTCCACAGGAAATTTGGACTATATGAAGGCAGTCATTAAGAGTAGTAATATGCAGTTTTTGGACATAGAAAATGGTTTTTATTGAATTTAAATAAAAGCAGGTTATCTCACTTTTGTGAAAAAATATATAAATGCAAGGAAAAATATTAAGTTACCAGTGAGTGTTAGGATAGTATGGGATTACATTTAAGAAATTGTTCTACATTATTTATTGCTTATATAATAAGGTAAACGTTTTTTAAAAAGGTATCTAGATGGTAGTGGCTTTCTTAAGAACTGGTAAATTTATCTGCCACCTCGTCTTTAAGTATGGATTGCAAATTTTCACATGATTTCATCAAATAATTAAAATAGAACAAATTACCAAAGATTGATTAAATATGAATGAAAGTTTTGACTAAATTAAATGTTATCTTTTAGTCCCTCATTTTTGGTGGAGAAAGCATTTTATCTACGTATCTGCATGTACCTAAATAGTCACATTATTTAAAACCAATAGTTTGTGCTACAGAAAGCACAGAAAGTATGATAAGTAGATTTGTATTACCTACAGAAATTTAAGACAAAATATTAAGTTTTTTGGATGGTGGTAATGGAAATATTTTACCATAGGTTAGGGGAAGGGATACTGGCAGAAAATAACCTGACACACATATAACTACTGGGCATTAAAAAAGTCAGGAATTAGAACTAAAAGAAGGTTGCATTACAAGAAAATCAGTGATAACATTTGATTTATTTTACCAAGCAGATGAATACTGACAGAAAAAAAAGCAAAGGGAGTGGGATATATTCTAGGAAGGAAAAAGTAGAAGGGAAAAAAAGAGAAAAAAATGATGGAACGATGCATTCTAGGTTTCCATCATGGGGCGGGGATCTTGCTACCCACAGGCCTGTCTAACGCTACATGTAAACCATAAATGAGAATGTCCACATAACCCTGAAGATTTGTTTTATTTTACTAACAACCTTTATGTCCCTAATTAGAAGCTGAAGGGTGGCTCAATGTTATTCCTCCATATTTTAGGAAAAAAGGAGGGTAGAATAGGAAACTTTCTTCCTTAATATTAGTAAAGTTTTCCTATACTTTAAAAATCTATAGAGCTTTAAAACTTAATAACCACCACCAAAGTTAGTTGTCCTAAAAATAACCTATTACCCAGATAACTACCCATGCTAGAAGTCATAAGATAAATATGCAACATCAAATGCTTGGTAAAATCACTAATTTGGAAACTACTGATTCAAATTTATTTGAGGCCTAAATGCAACAGATTAAGTAATAGAGCCTATTTTTAAGTACAAACACACTACCACCACCTTCAGGCTTTCCACCATATGCCTGTTACCTGGAATATTTTTTCCAGGGATGGATAATGAAGCAGCACTTTTGCTTCTGGCTAATGACGCTTTTGTTGGGATGAGCAGGCGACTGATTAAATTATTCTCTTGGGAACCGATATACGAGCGATGAGCTAAATGATGAGAACAAATCAAAAGGATTCAATTTGGGATCTCACAAATAAATGCAAAGCAAGAAAGAGCAATGTGAGCTGCTATAAACAGTAACTTTCCCAGAAACACAAAATAGGATTGAACACTGTCATGTGACCAAACTGCCCTGTCAGGGAAGAGATTACCTGAATAAAGGGGGAAAGACCACATCGTACGTACCACAATAACTCTAAGGAAGGAATCTAGGTAACATATTTAATAGAATCATTCCCGACCATATGGAGTCTCTATGGAGGAAAATCACAAGTGGAAAAAAAAAGTTGCACACAAAAAAACAACTTCTACAGAATTCCTATAGATATATGCCACTGACAATCATAAGGGTCAGGTCCATTGCCAAAAGCTCCAAGGGGCTGACTAAAATCTTTTGTTAAAAGTGAATTTTGGCCGGGCGCGGTGGCTCACACCTGTAATCCTAGCACTCTGGGAGGC